TGCCAGCTTACAGATCAGGGGTCGAAATTAGCGGTATCCCGATATCCGCGAGATAGTAGATTCTTGTGTTGGATACCAGATTTCAATGCTTGGTATCCCGCCGGGATAGTAAAAAAAAGTCGTCAAAATCGCGATAGTGCTTGTTGAGTTATCAACTTTATATGGCAGCACATCTGAGCAAGTGCACGTAGAGCGAGTGCGCGCGATCTGATGTGATGTGTATACATTGTATCAAGCAAACCAGACAGTGCGTCTAGACAATAGGCGCGTTCACACTGGCGGGTATTAGCGGGATGCAAATCTCGGTTGTTGCATCGTGATCGAAATCTAGAGATTTTTACAAGTGTGAACGCAAAAATCTCACTACGTATCACGATCAGCATCGCGCTGCAAATCGCACTTTAGGCGATTATTTGGGAATTAGCGCGATTAATTGCACCGCGCGGCGGCGTGTGTGTGAACGCTCGAAGTCGCCGTCGAATTCGCTGATACATCTTGGCAGCAAGACTTGGCCGTTTTGGCATGTTTCAAAAAAGGAGGGTTAATCGCCGATCTCAATTCAATCTGAAAAGATGCAGTCTCGACTCTGTACTAACAATACGATATGTTTACGTAAATACGTGCAGACGTAGAGTAGCATACGTTAACGTAACGTAACATAGAGCTAGACTACTACCAACGTCTGCACTGCCGTGTACGTGGAATCGAACACCGAACTCGAATCCCGGTAGTACATAATTCGCGCGCGCGCGACCGGAAGGGTTATATTCCGGCTTGATATCAGGCATGCGCAGTTCGATTAATAGAATTATCCCGCTCGGCGATGAGCGAGATATTTCTGCCTGTGTGAACAAGGGCATAATTATCTCGGTATTTCCATCGCGATTAGCATCGCGGTTTTTCTTGTGTGTGAACATGCCTAATACGTCTGCAGTGTACTTGTCTGTGCATATCTGTGAATCTGTTTTTATGTTTTTATATAATTACATTATATATTAATAATTTTCAAACGCTATTATTGCATATTTAAAGATTTTTGATACCAACATTGTTGAAATTGCTATCCAAAAAATGGGATACCAGATCTTTGGGGGGGGATACCAGATTTCAATACCTGTTATCACGAATGGATACCATAATGAAAATCTAATTTTGATCCCTGCAGATGCAATGAGTTTGAGAAATACATGGATGTTGCACAGGTTGTTGAGTAGCATAACGTTTCTATGCACTGCAAGTTGACTTATGTGATATTAATTTATTCGTCTGCGTGAGACGGTGTCTGTCTGTTCTATCAGGCATGATGATAAATTATATAGGAAGGTGATGTGGCATTAACGTTAAGATGTTCTGTTGACCATGCTTTTCATGATTGCATGCAAATTACCTCCATTAATCGTGGTAATCGGCACGGACTATGCGACAGGCTTCGAGATTATCGTTTGAGCGAGAAGTCAAGTTTGTCTGACCGGTACTTGCAGATCAGGAGACATCTGATGCAGCTCATTCAGAAGCAGGTGGAGTACGGTCGGGTGGAGACTGAGCCGGAGGTGACCACGAAGCATGGCAAGCTGAAGTCGAAGCGCAAGTCGAAGCGCGAAACAGTAATGGTCAACGACTTGGCCCAGCTAGAGATTCTCGATGATGTAAGTTAGCGATTGAATGTATCGATTTATGGTTTTCGTCCGTGTGATCGGCACTCGCGTTTTGCGCAGTGAGAAACAAACTACTGAGGTGTATTCGTCATGTATGTATTTGATTTTTGTATGACGTTGAAAAACAAAATGCTTCTTCTGATGTTTGATGCAGCATTTATGTGTACAAATTTGTTGGAAATTTGGTTATATTGTATTATAAAAATCAGCGTATATGCATTATATCAGGAGTTAATGAGACAAACAATTTGTCTCATTAACTCCGGATTATATGATGTGATGTGCGTAATATAGACATGCATAAAAAATATGGATGGAGTTTATAGCAGATCAAGTTTATCTAATTTTATCACCTGGTGTCTGGTTATAACTGATTTGGTCTTCAGTTCCAGACAAAGAACATAAAATGTTTAGCTTGCTTTATTTTGCAGGTGTGTAATCTAGAAATTCTAATTGATAAATTCGTTTGTCACTTAATATAATGTATGAGTAGCATAAAAATACAGAACTTAATAATTTAATAAAGGCAGAGGTGGTAGTTTTTTGTAGAGTGGAATCGTTTTTTGTGTGTAATTATTATCTTTTTAAGTTTAATCAACGTTTTATGTACATGTAAATTATCCACGAGGCTGTATGGTTGCGTGCTTGCTATAAATAGTTTAAATCCCAAGAGTGCAAATTTTTTCCCTGCTCTAGGATGTGATAGTTCAGCACTTGGAGAACCGATATAATGCAGGCCAAATCTACACGTATATAGGTGACATCCTGATAGCTGTCAACCCCTTCTGTCCACTCACCATCTACAATGATGAGGTTGGTTTGTGGTGTTTACTGTACTATGCATTCCTACCCAAATGACAGAACAAACTTCCTTGTTTCCTGAACCAAAATTTCCCCGTGACCCCCACTTAATAGATGGTACATTTGGTTATAGCAGGTTCTTTTATCCGGTTTTTAAATGCTTGGTTTGGCTCCATTTATCCATTTTTCCATCAGATGCAGATTCCTTGTGCAAATATCTGTACAAGTTGTTACATCTTAAAATGACCTGTTGTATGTTCTTTGTACTTTAGCACCTTGTATGTTCCTTGTACATGACTGAATATGAATTCATTAATAGAAATGTTGTTTTAGACGTCTAGAGACTATATGAATGCCAGCAAGAGCGCAAATCCACCACATATATTTGGTGTGGCTGATGCAGCCTTCCAGGGAATGGTGCATTACAAGCAGAGTCAGGTAACGCATGCGAAAAGCACATTAAAACTGCATTTACTCTGTAATAATTGATTGCGGAGCACGCTTAATTGGAAAATGTGACATGCCGTAATTACGGTCGCAGGAATCTTGTTTATAGCAAGCTGTGTGGTAACTGATCATTTACTCGTGTATTTGTTTGCAGTGTGTAATCATCAGTGGAGAGAGTGGTGCCGGCAAAACCGAGAGTGCAAACTTACTTGTGCAACAACTGACGATGCTAGGAAAGGTATGCATGTGAACTGGTGGAAATGTGTATGGCACACGCTTCAGAGAACCATTTTTGTGTAATGGTACAATCTGCATGTGAAATTAATGTCTCCTTAAAAAAAGGTTTCTTAATCGGCAGGTTAATTATTGAACTTATGTGTGTATGACTATAGTGCTATGAGAAATTTGCTAACCTACCTACCTACACTAAAGTACCGTGGTTACCGAGGAGCATTATGTGGGACATAGATCCCTGGAATTATCATTTAGAGCAAGTCAGCTGTAACGAAAATAGTTAATACCATGATAGGAACGAATGTTTTGCACACAATACTTTTTCACGTAAAACTGCACGTGGTCACTGCATTAGCAGAAACTCGTGTTAGGTTGGGTCAGCAGTAACTGGTGTTACAGACAAGAAAGCGAGTACAATATTTGTACCCAAAAACCATGATCCCTTTTAAAACAGGATTGTAAATTTCTTTAATTTGCTTTACGTGTAGGCTCCAAATCGAACATTGGAGGACAGGATCCTTCAGGTAAATCCTCTGCTGGAAGCATTTGGTAATGCCAAGACCGGCATCAACGACAACTCGAGCAGATTTGGAAAGTATTTGGAAATGACCTTCACGCCAAATGGGAAGGTCACAGGGGCTTGCCTGTCTGAGTACCTACTGGAAAAGTCACGAGTCATCAGCCAGGCCAGGTATGTTCACATACTACTTGTAAAAAATATTTTAAGCCTGTATGGGCATAAACTCATGTTGGTGCAGCATCTGTAACTTGAATAGTAATTCGAATTTACATCCCGCAATATCTACAGAATTGATAATTATGCCTCAATGCCAGATAAATCGTGTTAAGCTGAAAAGAGTAATTTAAGACATTTTAAATTGTTTGCAGCGGGGAGCGAAACTTTCACATTTTCTACTACATCTATGAAGGTCTAAGACATGAGAAAAGGTACCACCTGAAGGATGCTGACAGGCACAGGTATGCACTGTGGTTCAGTGTTATTCTGTTAGTTTATTCTGTATAGTACTGTTGTTGTTATAATATTTATGACAGAATGCTCCACGACATTTTCTTCACAGATGATCTACATAAATATGATACATGGATATATACAATATATTCAAAGTGTTATAGTTGTGCTGTGTGTGCATGTGCGTGTGCGTGTGCATCTGCGTGTGCATCTGCGTCTGCCTGTGTGTGTAACGCACGCATGCATGCACGCACGCACGCACGCACGCACACACACACACATACATATATATTACTGATTGCTAATTTAACTGCTAAATAACTTGTATTTTTACGTGCAGGTATCTTGGAGACTATCAACAGACAACACGTGATATATCGACAATCTCGGTTCGAAAGGTCAGGTTTAAAGCCATCCAGCATTGCTTTGAGCGCATAGGATTCAAGGAACAGGTTCGCGATTTTACAGCAGACGCCATTGGTCTTTTACTATGGATGTTTTTACAACAATTTCACTGTTTGCCCTAATGAAATTTCACACGAAATAACACTCGACTGCATGCATTCCGAGAAGATTCCAAAATACCACCTGGAATCACAAGCAGTGGGGCAGAATATGCTATATCTGTTGCAGGAAGTGACGTCAGCCTACAGCATCTTGGCAGCCATTTTGCAAATAGGAGACATAGACTTTAAGCGAAAGGAGGCAAAGCATCTCTCAGATAGGAGCGTGGTGGCTAACCCTCAGCAGCTGCCCATTGGTTAGTGTGCTTCTTAGAGCAGGGTTTCTATACTTAGTCTAAATATTATCTATTAATAATATTGCACTGTGTAATTAAGCCATCTTTGCATTTCAACTGTGCATGCTCGGCAACCCTATTTCTATGTCAGAAAAAGGTTCTTGGTTTTGATTTCAGTTACCAAGCAAATGCCCACCAAGCTGTAGTAATTGCTTAAGCAGTTGGCTGTTTATTTTAGCAAAGAGCATTTATTTACTTTCATCTAAAATTTAAATGTGCCAATTGAGTGCTGCATTGAAATTGAATGCTTACAAATCTAAAAAACTTAATTCCAAATTATTACCTGGCGACAAAGCAAGTACTGTGAAATCCGAAATGAAATTATCGCTGTATGTTATTACCATTATAATGGTTAAGCAGTGCATATAGCAGCCAAAAAGCTCCATAATGCACCAAGCCTCTCGAAATGAGAAGATATTTGTGACGTCGCGGAGAGCACCACCACCTTCACCTTCATAATGAGCACCGTGCCTCTCTCTCTCTCTCTCTTTCTCTCTCTCTGTCTCTCTCTCTCTCTCTCTCTCTCTCTCTCTCTTTCTTTCTTTCTCATCTCTATTCTCTCTGCTCTGCTCTTCTTCTCTCTAGATCTTTTTCTTTCTGTCTCTATGTCTCTCTGTATTTCTACAGTGGCAAAGCTACTGTATATATCTAAATTTTTATTATATTTTTTGAAAAATTGCTTGTATTATTTAAGGTAACGTAATCGCATTAAGGTTATGCTATATTGTAAGCATAGTAATGTGAAACATCGCACTGTGAGAGCGGGTGCTAAGCTTGAGGGCTAAACTCTCTGAATAGAGTTACTCGCTCAACATGAAAGCCAGTGAACTAAAACATGCTGACTAATGCTAACTAGCAACTAAAATAGCACTAAGGTAAACGGCCTATCATCACGTCCTTATCGTCGTGCCGACCTCCTGTCAAATACAACACCGGGCTCTTAGGCCAAGGTGCACCCCCCCTGTAGAAAGGAGTTTAAAGTGGATAAAACCTCGCAACAAAAAGCCTTCATACACCTCTACTGTGGAGCCATACTTGCAGTATGCAAATATTACGCGAAATCTTCTTATTGACGCCAGAAAATTGTGCTCCGAACTAGAGACTTTTGATAAAAACGCCCGACAGAGTTATTCGGGCATAAATGTATGTCTGAGTTGAAGGTGGTACCTAGTGGAAATATATTCCTGGAAAGAAAACACTATATTCATTTCCTGATTGCATAAGTAAATGTGGATAACAGCGTGATTTTAAACAAGATTGTCACAATTCTGCTTACTTATTGTACTGTACACAGCAAACAGTATAATAATGAATACTAACTTGTTTATCAAGAAAAGAACTGTTAAGCGAATCGCTCGGGCTGTGTCCTGGATGTGTAAACATCACGTTGGCTACTTTCGTAGACAAGTACTCTCGTTTAGATTTTGTGAAGAAATGTTAAAAAATGTAGGTGAATGAGCACAGATGAGTTGTGAGTTAAAGTTGGTTGCAAGGCATAGACGAGGCGTACAGTAGTATTCTAGGCTTTTGGCTGGCGAGAACATTGCCGTTTTAAAGGGCTACCCTAACGGCTCACGCAATCTCTCCGCTGACGAAAGCGATCGGCAACGTCGGTCGATTGAGCCTGTACAAAAAAACAAACATCGCCTCCGTTTCCCCCCCCCCCTCAACCTGAAGGAACCGCAAAACGATGAAACCAACCAAACACAAGCCGCTAGTTGTTAGCACCCCGATTAGTTTAGAACACAATGCGAAATACACAATGTTGCAGTGTCGCCAAACTATCCTTGATCTGAAAAGCTGTCCCTTCTGAAGTGTGTCTCGGCTCTCTCGTAGTCGCGCAGCTGCTGGGGTCGACTCCACGCGAGCCTGCTCGGAGGCAATGAGTGCCAAATTAGTCAGACCCATGTCCTTCGCTCCCGTAGTCGCCCAGCTGCTGGGGGTCGACTCACCGCGAGCTTGGCTCGAGGGCAATGATGACAAATATCAGACCGCCATGTCTCGCTCCCGTAGTCGCGGGCAGGCTGCTGGGGTGCGACTGCACGCGAGCTGCTGCGAGCAATGAATGGACAAATTATCAGAGCGCATGTCCGCGTCGTAGTGGCGCAGCTGCTGGGGGTTCGACTCACGCGAGGCTGCTGCCGAGCAAGATGACAAATGTAGTCAGACGCATGTCTACGCTCCGTAGTCGCGCAGAAGCTGCTGGGGGTCGTACTCACGGCGAGGTCTTCTGTTAAGGCAATGATGACAAATTTCAGACGCAGTGTCTGCGCTCCGTAAGTCGCGCAGCTGCTGGGGTCGACTCACAGGCCGAGCTAGCTCGAGGCAATGAGTGACAAATTATCAGACGGCATGTCCTCGCTCCGTATCGGCAGGCTGCTGGGGGCGCGACTCAACAGGCGAGCTGCTCGAGGCAATGATGATCTAAATTATCAGACCGCATGTCTCGGCTCTCCGTAAGTCGCGGCAGCTGCTGGGGGTCGACTCACGCGAGCTGGCTCGAAGCATATGATGACAAATTTAATCAGACGGTCATGTCTCGGCTCCGTAGTCGCGGCAAGCGCTGGGGTCGACTCACTGCGAGCTGCTCGAGGCAATGATTGCGAGCGAAGTTTATCAACGCATGTCGCCGCTCCGTAGACGCGCAGCTCTGGGGGTCGACTCACGCGAGGCTGCTCGAGCAATGAATGACAAATTATGCAGACGCATGTCTCGGCGTCCGTAGTCGCGCAGCTGCTTGGGGTCGACTCAACCCGCGAGCTGCTCGAGGCAAGATGACAAATTAATCAGACGCATGTCTCGCTCCGAGTCGGCGGCAGCTGCTGGGGGTCGACTCACTGCGAGCTGCTCGGAGGCCATGATGACAAATTATCAGACGCATGTCTCGCTCCGTAGTCGCGCGAGTACGCTGGGTCGACTCACCGCGAGCTGCTCGAGGCAATGATGACAAAGTTTATCAGAGCCGCATGTCTCGCTCCGTAGTCCGGCGGCAGCTGCTGGGGGTCGACTCACGCGAGCGCGCTTCGAGGGGGCGCAATGATATTATCAGACGGCATGTCTCGCTCCGTAGTCGCGCAGCATTGCTGGGGGTCCGACTCACGCGAGCTGCTCGAGGCAATTGATGACAAATTATCAGACGCATGTCTTCGCTCCGTAGTCGCGCAGGCTGCTGGGGTCGACTCACGCCGAGCTGCTCGAGGTCACTGATGACAAACTTCTTGACGTGTGTTCTCGGCTCCGTCTGCGAAGTCCGCGTCAGGCTGCTGGGGGTGCGACTCAGCGCGAGCTAGCTTGAGGCGACTGGATTGAGCAACTGCGGTTTGGTTGACGCGAGACGAAGACGATGCTATCGCAGCCGCGCGTGAACACGGTCGATGCAGGCGGTGGAACGTTGCGAGACGGCGCGATGGCGGGCGCTCACGGACGGCCTCTTCGAGCTGGATCGTCAACAAGAGTCAACACGGGGTCTGCGAAGCGCTGCCAAAGTTCCAGGAGCACGTGTAAGTCATTGCATGGGGGTGGGGTTGGGGTGGGATTGCAGGGTGTGGGTGGGGCTGAATAAGCAGCTGTGGTACGATGCAGTGTGGGGGAGATATTAAGCTTGCGTGTAAGCCAATGTATGGGTGATAGTAGTTTTGTGTAAGCTATGCGGGAAGGTGGGGGGGAAGTAGCTTGTGAAGAAGACCATCGGGGTGGTGGGGTAGAAGTAGCTTGCTGGAAGCTATGGCGGGGGGTGGGGGGGAAGTAGCTGTGTAAAAGCCATGCGGGGGGTTGGGGGTGGAAGTAGCTGTGAAAGTCCATGCGGGGGTGGGGTGGAAGTAGCTGATGTGTAAGCCATGCGGGTGTGGGTGTGGAAGTAGCTTGTGAAAGCATATGGCGGGGTGTTGGGGTGGGGTGAGTAGCTTGTGAAAGCCATGGCGGGGGTGAACGGAGCGCGTGTAAGTCCGTGCGGGAGTGGGGGTGGGTGGAAGGAGCATGTTTAAGCCATGCGGGAGTAGGGGTGGGTGGAAGGAGCATGTTTAAGCCATGCGGGAGTGGGGTGATGGGGAAGTGTGTAGCTGTGGAGGGGAGGAGTCGCAGATGGTATGTAAAAGTGGATGGCTGATAGATGCAGTGTGGTTCGTTGTCGTTTGAAGAAGTCGTTCATAGACGGGAGATTTTGTCAACTTTATATATGAGAGAGGGTATTTATTATGTTAATGTAATATGTAATGTTATCAGTGGTTGCAGAGATTTAATCAATAGTCATATATACTGCTTGATTCATTACCATGTTTGCCTACAGAAACGAATGCTTGTCGGTTGGGATACTGGATATCTTTGGCTTTGAGAATTTCCCACGAAATTCGTTTGAACAGCTGTGCATCAACATAGCGAATGAGCAAATCCAGTACTACTTCAACCAGCACATATTTGCCTGGGAAATGGTACAGTATATGTTGATGAATCGACCATCTCTTGTTTTCACTAATAGGGATTAGCAATGTTATAGTGAAATTAAGTTATATTAAGTGAAGTTATAGTTTGGATTCCCACATAGCATTGACAATAATATCACTATCTGCGTATGTAGAAATCCACATGTTCGCCATTGTAGTTTAATATGCACAGATTTTGTAAGTATGTTAAACAGTGTAAGGGATCTACCTTTATTGGCCTAATTATTTTATTTTCTGTTAAAATAAAACACTAACACATGCTAATGTGTTACGGGAAATAATTGTACAATTTATCCATTCAAAACTGTTTTGCTAGACAAATGTGTTCCACGAAAAGTTTGTCATATATTGATATGAATCTCAAATCTCTGAAAGAAAGTTTGTGAAGATTGTTCTTTTACACTGCAGGCAGAATACAAGGCTGAGGGAATCGACGGCAGTAACATCGACTTTATTGACAACCGTCCGGTCCTGGACATGTTTCTCGCAAAACCCATGGGTCTGCTGGCATTACTGGACGAGGAAAGCCATTTCCCTAAGGCAACGAATAAGTCTCTTGTTGGTGAGTGTCCATCCTATTAGATGTTGATAGTTTTAGCACACTGGACAGCGATCAGCCTGCAGTTACTTGTTCACAAATTCATAAAAATTCTAGCTCATTTTGAAATGACAAATTTGGCAACACAGAGTAAATATAGTTTCGAATTATTAAAGTCATTTCTACACGTTTTCTATATATACTGATATATATGTGTGTGTGTGTGTGTGTTCGTGTGCGTGTGTGCGTGCATGTGTGTGTACGACTATTTATGGTCTAATCTTCACTGCAGACAAGTTCAACAACAACATCAAGTCACAGCATTATATCAGGCCCAAGTCGGACAATTCCTGTACGTTTGTGGTGCAGCACTATGCGGGCAAGGTAAATGGCATTTCAGATACTCACAGACAATGACTCATCTCTTCTCCTTTGTGTTCGGTTGTGTTTTCCATTGGGATATAATTTAATTATTGCTCAATTAGTTCTTCATTGGATGGAATGAGAAAGCGTGCCAATCAATATATCTGAGCTTTCAGTATCAATCATAGTCAGTATGGTACTTCCACCCACGAAAGCATGACTAAAATTATGATTAATTGGATTACATTACACTCACTTATTTGATAATTGGCACTACACGTCTGCCGTTGTGTGGTATAGTGAAACATGAGGATCAGTTGGAATTAACAGTTCGACAGATTTTTAACAACATTAATTTTTTACAACGTTTAGTAATCAGGTCATAAATATATTGATCATCAGTAATTTTGGTGAAAAATCTCTACGCGTACATGGAGAAATGGTGTGAAAACGGTTTTCTGATGTTACAGTAAAAGTGCAAAATAGCAATGCAGTGTATAAGCAGAACACATACATAATATTGATAATCTTTAGTGATGTATGTGCGCCGGTATAAGTTTGATGATGTTACAGTCTTTGTAAAGCATACCATTGCACCGTGTACATTTAGTAATGTAAAGGTTTGATAGTTTTACTGTTCGTCGGCAAGTTAGCCTTGCAGCGTGTAAGTTTGTTTGTACTGTTTGTTCGTACGTTGTGTGACAGTGTTTCCATACGATGCTTTCCAGGTTGAGTATGATGCAGCAGGGTTCCTGCAGAAGAACAGAGACTACCTGGTTCCCGAGATCTCTCAGCTGCTGCGCGTGTCTGATGTCGCTGTTGTTAGATCCATCTTCAGCAGTCCCCTGACGAAGACCGGTGAGCAGATGTGATTTCTGATTTTGTACAAGTTTGTGTCTAGATATGTGCAAATAATATCCTTTGTTCTATGGGCTCATTTCATTATTTACCATTTTTATATTCATAATAATTTACTCAGAGTGATTAGTCAGTCTAATTAGCCAGGATGCGTGTTAATGAGTTAAAAAAAACTTTTTACCAAAAATTCGTTCGTGTTGGTGGCATTGTTGCATTGTGTTAGTAACAATTAAGATTGGCGAAAGTATGATGAGAAATAAATTATGTATGAAATCGCTGGTGTAAGAGGCTCTATAAAGCGTCAATTTAATATATTAAATATTAGATTCATTATAATTCTAGGTCACTTGTGTACAGCGAATGGTGGTGGATCACCATTAGGATCCTCTGCTTCATCACTGCAGTCTTTATCACAGTCACCACTAGGTGGCTCTGTCTTTAACATAAAGTCTTGCAGCAGAGTAATTATTTTATTTATTCTGTAGTCTATAAGATGATTATGTTAAACACTAATCCTTAATTGCCTAAGCAACGTTTTTAGTGTATGAAAGTGATTATGATCTCAGTTATATATTACTCACACTTTCTAATTTTACGTGTTAATAGATAATAGGAGAATATTTTATTATTGTCAACCTGCTCGTAGACAATATGTTGACCTGTTGAAGATCAGATGAAGAATGTTAGCAGTATTAGATGTGTGTACATGTCACGATTACTGTGAGTTGTCCTTCGTGTCTTCATGCAGCACCAATTCCAAGTTTTCATATTCGATTCCTATCTGTTACAGCAGAGCGGTGCTTCTGTGAATGGAAGTCAGACCCGAGCTCAACAGACCGTCTCCACCTACTTCAGATACTCCCTTATGGACCTGCTTACCAAAATGGTTGCCGGAACGCCGCTCTTTGTCAGGTGCAGTTTAAACATACGGACACATTAATGCTATGGTTACTTACTGGGAAGTGATAAATATTTATGCAAATTTATATATTTTGTGAAATAATATTTGCTTGTATTATTTAAGGTGACGTAATTGCATTAATGTTATGCTATATTGTAAGCATAGTAATGTGAAACTCCACTGGTGAGCAGCGGTGCTAAGCTTAGGCTAAACGTCTATGACATTTACTCTGCTCAACAGAAAGCCAGTGACTAAAACTGCTGACTAATGCTACTAACTAAAATAGCCCTAAGTAAACGGCCATCATCACGTCCTTATCGTCGGCCGACCCCTGTCAAAACAACACCCCCTCCCTGTAGAAAGGAGTTTAAAGTGGATAAACCTCGCAACAAAAAGCCTTCATACACCTCTACTGTGAGCATACTTGCAGTATGCAAATATTACGAAATCTTCTTATTGAGCCAGAAATGTGCTCCGAACTAGAGGATTTTGATACAACGTCCGACAGAGTTATTCGGCGCATAAATTATGTTGAGTGAAGGTGGTACGCTAGTGAAAATAGTTCCTGGAAAGAAAACACTATATTTATTTCCTGATTGCATAAGTAAAGTGGATAACACGTGATTTAAACAAATTTTACAATTCTGTTACTTAATTGTACTGTACACAGCAAACATATAATAATGAATTATAACTTGTTTTATCACAGAAAGAACTGTTAACGATCGCTCGGCTGTGTCCTGGATGTGTAAACATCACTGTTGTGCTACTTTCGTAAGACAAGTACTCTCGTTTAGATTTTGTGAAGAAATGTTATAAAAATAGTAATACAAATGAGTTGTAGTTAATTTTTGCAACATAGACGAGCTCACAGTAGGTATATCTAGGCATTTTGCTGCGAGAACATGCCGTTTTAAAGGGCTACCCTACGGCCAGCAATCTCCCCGCTAGAAAGCGAACGGCAACGTCGGTCGAAGCCTGTACAAAAAAAACCCCATCGCCTCCGTTCCCCCCCCCCAACCTGAAGGAACCCAAAACGATGAACCACCAAACCAAGCCTAGTTTAGCACCCCGGATTAGTTTAGAACACATGCGAAAACACATTTGCAGGGTCCCAAACTATCCTTGATCCGAACCGCCTCTGACACGTGTCTCGCTCTCCGTAGTCGCGCAGCTGCTGGGGGTCGACTCACGCGAGCTGCTCGAGGCAATGATGACAAACTATCTGACGTGTGTCTCGCTCTCCGTAGTCGCTCAGCTGCTGGGGGTCGACTCACGCGAGCTGCTCGAGGCACTGATGACGAACTCGGTTGTGACGCGAGGCGAGACGATTATTCGCGTGAACACGGTCGACGAGGCGGTGAACGTGCGAGACGCGATGGCGAAGGCGCTCTACGGACGCCTCTTCAGCTGGATCGTCAACAAGATCAACACGCTGCTGAAGCCTGCCAAGTTCCAGGAGCACGTGTAAGTCATGCAGGGGGTGGGGTGGGGTGGGTTAGGGTGTGGGTGGGGCTGATGGCAGCCTGTGTAAGCATGTGGGGGAGATATTAGCTTGTGTAAGCCATGTATGGGTGATAGTAGTTTGTGAAAGCCATGCAGGGCCACACACCCTTGTCTGCAGTGAAGATCTTAGACGCATATAATAGTCGAGACACTACACATCACGCATAACAACACGCCCGACGAACACACACACACATATAGATCAGTATAATAGAAAACGTGTAGATAAGTGCACTTTAATAATTCGAAACTCATATATTACTCCCTGTGTGCCAAATTTTGTCATTGTCAAAAATGAGCTAGAATTTTTATGAATTGTGAAGCAATGTAATGCAGGCTGATCGGATGTCCTGGTGTGCCTAAACTGATTCAACATTAATAGATGGAGCACTCGACAACAAGTAGACTGTATCGTTGCTTAGGGAAATGGCTTTTCCTCGTCCAGTTAATGCGCAGCAGACGCCAATGGGTTTTGCGAGAACATGTTCCGGACCCGACGGTCTGCAATAATCGATGTTAACAGCCGTCGATTCCCTCAGCCTTGTATCTGCTCGCATGAAAAGAACAATCTTCACAAACTTTCTTTCAGAGATTTGAGATTATATCAATATATGACAAACTTTTGTGGAAGCACGATTTGTCTAGCAAAACAGGTTTTGAATGATAATTATTATTTAATTTTCGCTTAACACAGTTAGCATGTGTCTAGTCTTTTCTTTTAACAGAACAATAAATAATTAACCAATAAAGGAGATCCTTTTACACTGTTTAAACAACTACATATAATTTGTGCCTAATTAAAGCTTACAATGGCGAACATGGGGATTCTACATGTGCGATTAGTGATTAATTTATTTGTCTAAGGTATCTGTGGAATCAAGACTATAACTTCGACTTTAATATAACTTACTTTCAACTATACATGCTAATCCCTATCGTGATAAGAAGAGATAGTCGAGTTCATCACCCTACTATACTGACCGCATTTCCCAGGTCAATATAGTGCGCTGGTGTGAAGGTAGCTACTTGATTTGCTCATTCGCAATGTTGATGCATCAGCTGTTCTAAACAATTCGTGGAAATTCTCAAGCCCAATTGATATCCAGTATCCATAACCGACAAGCATTCGTTTCTGTAGGCTAAACATGGTAAGAATCTAAGGGCGGTATATACTGGCCTAATTGATTAAATCTCTTGCACTACTGATATACATTACATATTTACATAACATTAATAAGTTATCCCTCTCTCATATATAAAGTTGAAACATGTCCGTCTTGACGACTTATTCAATACACAACGATACATCACTGCATCTATAGTCCATCTCCGTTTTAGCATTATCGCATCTGCGACTCGCTCCCTCCACAGGCTATCACACCTTCGCGCCATCACCCTCCCACCGTATGGCTTTAAACTGGCTCCTCCCCCCCCACCCCGTATGGCTTTAAACATGCTCCTTCCACCACAATGCCCCACTCCGCATGCTTACAAATGCTCCTGTCCGACCCCCCAAACCCCCGTTAGGCTAAACTGCTCCTTCCACCCCCTCAACCGCCCCCGGTGATGGCTTAAACATGCTCCTTCCACGCGCACTCCCCATCTCCCGCAGCTGGCTTAAATCATGCTCTCTTCCATCCCCCCAACCCCCGTAGGGCTTAAACATGCTCGCTGTCCACCCCCACGCCCTCCACTCCGCCGCATGGCTTAAACATTGCTCCTTCCACGCCCCCAACCCCCCCGTATGGGCTTAAACATATGCTCCTTCCACCCACTAGCCATATTACCCGGCATGGCTTAAACATGCTCCTTCCACCCCCCAACCCCCTGTAATGGCTTAAACATGCTCCTTCCACCTCCGCAGTCCTCCCGGCCGCACTGGCTGTACACGGCTCTGTTCTCGTTCAACCCCCGCATGGCTTCACAAGCTACTTCCACCCCAACTCCACTGCACGAATGGCTTCACATGCTAGCTTCCACCCCCCCCCCCCTCGCATAGGCTTACGACAAGCTACTTTTCCACCTCCACCGCATGGCTACAACAAGCTAACTTCCACCCCCCACCCAA